AATGATATCATATGTGTGAGAAATAACCTAATGAATGTAATATATAATTGTACTCACCATTTGGACATTTTCGGGGTTGCCCTTCTTCTTCTCGTAATCGGCAAACTTTCTCCAGTAACCATAGCAATATGGGTAACGCTCCAAAAATTTAGTATAAGCTTCGCGCGCAGCCTCTGCATCATTCTGCCATAAAAAAAATTATTTAAATAGTAGTTCTTCTAATAAATTTATATATCATGATGATATCTTATTTTTGTGATTACACTTGTACTACTTTCTAATAGAAATCGAATATTAAGAGTAATTGACATAAAAACTGAATTTTTTAATAAAGTAAAATTTCCATACGAGTTTTTATTTACCTCTTGATCAACATATTGTAAAAGATATGTCCATCCTGTGAAGTCAGACGGATCTTCATTAACGGCTTTCCAATACTTTTCTAGTTCGGGCAGTGTTTTCTTTTTCGGCGATGCTGGTTTGATTTCTTGTTTATCTCCTGCATCTGCTTCATTCGATAAAGCAACCTTCTTTGCAGGTGCCTCATCATTATTTTCAGATGTTGGGGAACTTGGATCATATTCTCCTTCTGCGTTCAATTTACGTTTAGCTAAAAGAATACAAGAAATGCGTAATCCTCAATAAACATCAATTTTAAACTATAAAAATTTATGAAATCATAGAAATAATACTCACTTCCGCTTTCTGTTTTGATTTTCTTTTCAGGCGTTTTGTTCAATTTTGTCCCTCCTTTTTTCTTTTTATCGCTGTCCGGTGGTAATTCGTCTTCGGATACAGATTCGGTTTCACCCAAGTCTGCTGGGGCAGCAACTGGCAATTCTTCATCAGAAACTGCTTCGGTTTCAGGCTCCTGTGCATTTATTATAAAATGTAAGAAAAAAGTTAATTATATATATCTATATTTGAAATGTATAATATAAATTTTACCTTTGCTGTGGATTCATTTGGTAACTCATCCTCTGATACTGCTTCCATATCAGGTTCTGTTTTCTTTGCATCATCGTCTGCATCATCCTCAATAGCTTCAGTTATTTCTATGCGTGGAAGAGAATCACTTTGCGATATTTCCATATCAGGTTCTACCTTGTTCATAACAGTATCTACATCTTCTGATATTTCTTGTTTTGAATCCTCAACTTCCATAACTTGAATTCTAGCAGTATCTGTGAATACCTCTGAATCTACCTCTTCTGTCTCTAGGATTGTCATTGTATTGCCGTTAATGGCTTCTTTAACTTCATTGATAGCTTTTTGAAAATCAAATAGTACACGTTGTTGATTTGAATCATTATTACCGATGTCTTCACTCTCCATTTCAATGTCTTCAGTCAGCATTTCCACTTTGTCCATACTACTATCCTCTATAATTATGCCCTCTGATCTTATGTTAGAATGATCCTGCGTGACAAATCAATAATTTTAGTATTTACTTATAATATTTAAAAATATTATATTACTATATTGTATTACGCTATCAATTTATACACACACACACATATATATATATATGTATAAATTAATAGCGTAATAAAAGACGTATATAAAAGATAAAAGTTGCTCATTCTTCAAATAAAAAATTAACAAAAATGAGGGAAAATAAAATCTCAATCTTGCAATTGAACAAAAATTTTGTATATTATGTACCATGTCTTCTACATCTTGCTCAATCTCTTCGCTTTGACCTATGTTCATCTCATGTATATTAGTGTCTTCGGAATCTTCCAATTCCAAGTGCAGCATGGGTGTATCTTCTTCGCTACGTTGTTCAACCATAATATCCGATAACCGTTGAACTCCATTCTCAGACATATTTTCTATTATGCTTTCTTCCATAACAGGTACTTCTTCCTGCAATTACAAGCAAATTAAGATTAAGATTGCATTAAAAATCTCTTTTGACCAATTTGACTCACAAATGTCTTTTTTTCCTCGATATAATAATAACTTTAAATATAACTAATAAAAGAAAAGAAAACAAAGTCGAACTAGCGTGTTAGGTTAGTTTAGCTTAGTTCAGTTAATAAGAAAACTTAAGTAAACAAGTATTAACGCTAATCGATGCTGGTGCAACCGGTTGCGAGAATTTGCGAGGTTTTTACCTCAGGCTCCTCGATCTCGTGAATCTTTCTGGGAGAGCGCGTTGCTCTCGCGAGTAGCTTCTTCACAGGCGATTTTTTAGCCACCACTGTCGTCTTCCGAGCTCGACCAGACCTCGTGCGTCTCACTGAAAATGTAAACGAAATATATTTGTATCGCTCTACACACAAGACGCTACTTCGAAATGGCGGTCTCGTGGGCTGGGCATTCACGCCGAGCGCACGTCTTTGCGTACGAACGATTGCCTCGGCAACGGCCTGGCAATCGATCGGACTGATCGACGGGATTCCTTTCTTACCTGGTTCGACCAGCGCGAGTTCGGCTTCGTCTCCGCTTGCAGAGGACATGTCTTATGCTCTTGATGCAGCCTCCGGAATGTAAAGCGTAGAACTCTTGTCGCTAATTGTTAACAGAAAATGGCGGCGCGATAGTCTGAACCAGGCTCGCCAACAAACGTGTAGTTTCGGCAAAATCGGCGCAATTACAAGCGTGGTTGTTTTGTTCTTTTTCAAAAATTTTAGGCGTTAGAACGTAATCTGCTTTACCAATAATCGTACAGCGATTATTGACAGTTGGTACCGATTGGAGGTATTGTGTAAGGATAATCCTATGCCTGAATAATTTGAAAAATCCATTGTACATTAACACTCTTTCAGAAAATATAGTTAGTAAAATAAGTACAGTTAAAAATAGAAATGCGCACAGAAAGAAAATTATTACGTCTCTCTCTCTCTCTCTTTCTCTGTGTAAAATGTTAAAATAATAATTTAATATAAATAAATTAAATAAAATATTAATACAAATTAAATATAAATCATATATAAATATACATAATAATATGTAAGTACAAATATAATACATATAATAATATAAATACAAATATAAATAATTTAATATTAATATCAATAATAATTTATTATATAAAAATATTAATTTTCTCTCTTTCAACATTACTATTTATTTACTTATATGTGTGTACGTTTTTTTCTTCTCATCATTTTTTATTTATTTATTTAACTCCTCCATACAGTGCAAACCAGTGTTGTTACATGCAGCAATATTGCAACAATATTGCAATGTTGCTGCAATATTGCTGCAATGTAATAACAATAGTCTGTGCTGTATGAGTCGAGGAATCAGTTTTTTGAAGTGAAAAACTAAAAATTATATTCTAGAATCTGACTTTGGAAAAGCGCAGTAAAACAGTCAAATCAAGGTTCAAGTAATTAATGAAAGGCTCCGTGATATATTAGTTCTTTAATAAATATAAAAGGTTACAGAGAGATATACAAATAGATATAAGATTTACAAGGTTGAAAGCTAAAAATAAATTAAGACCACATACCCATGAATTAGTAATTTTATGATTTATTATATATAAGAAATCAACAAAAATATATTTATAGAATTCTGTACATTAACTTGCACAAACTTGAAACAAATGATATCGATTAATATTATCTTACTCATTCATGTAAATTAATTTTTTATTTCGCATATAAAATTCTAATAGCTATTATTGTTGTGTTCGTTAAGAAAATGATACAGCATATTTTACGTCGAATTACATAAAAAATGTTTATTTCTTGTTACAGTTGAATATATCGTTTGGACAATTTATATATATATATATATATATATATATATATATATATATATTATAATTCAAGTTATTATAATTTTATTATATGCAATCAGATCTATATTGTATATGTAATATAAAACATAATTATCTGAATAAGAGACAAAAAGAGTAAAATTATGAAGAATAAGAGATTAGAGAGATATTAATATAAGGAATATAAAATAATATCTTATAACTTATTCTTAATTAAAATAACGAGAAAATTTCTGGTAAATTTTATAATTAATATCACAAATAAATAAATATATACAGGGTGATTCTGAACACATCAGCGCTCGCCGCGATCAGCTGATTGCTATACGCGAGGAGTGTAGCAATTAGTGTGTGTGTATGTGTGTGCACATTTTCACATACCTTTATAGTTTAAAAACTAAGCTCCGGGCAAAATTTTGCAACAGGAAAAATCGTCTTAGAATTCATTCAAAAATTTGATATTTTAAAGACAAATTTGTTTAGAATCACACTGTATGTATTCGTTTTGCAATTATTATAGTTAAATATAATTATTTTACAATTTTAATTTCTCTTTTATATTAGGTGGTTGAAATGAGGCAAATGTGTCCAAAAGTTTCTTGCGTTTTATTATATTGTCTTGAACATCTTTGAATACTTTCTCTTCAAATTTATTTCTTATAAATTCGTTTATCTGAAAATAAAACATAGAAAAATATATAATTATTATTATTATTTAAAATAAATTCTCGCCTTTTATTTATATCATTTCATTAAATCTTTGAAAACATTAATTGTATATATGTATTTTAACAAAACTAAAATATTTTTTTCATTTAAATTATAAAATTTTAATAACAATCTGAACAATTTGAAGAAATTTAAAATCTATAATTTTCGATAAAAATAGAGATAAATAAATTTAAATATAAGTAAATAAAAATGTAAAATTTAAAATAATAAAATTTACCTTGACAAGTTTTTCTTTAGAATGCACATTGTCAATTATATTATTTAATAACATTATTAAATTAATATTGAATCCTATATATACACTGTAATTTCTGCAAAAAATTAAATGATTTATAATAAATAAATACAAAAACGGATATGTGTTTGCAATTAATAAAATACAATTAAAATACCTTGCCATTATCTTTTCTAAATTTGTTAATATATAGTCGATTACTACATTATTATTAGCGTGTTTCTTGACAATAGCATAATAAATTCCATAGTAATCAAAATGTGATATTATTGAATTTCTTGATATATAATATATATCCAAGAAATTAATTATAATATCAGGATTTTCAGAGCAAATCAAATACATCAAAGTCTCTTTGTCTGATTTATTTACATATATATAGAATAACTTGTTCCAAGTAGAAGCGTTTGCTTCCATCAAGCCATTACAATATGTCCATTCTTTTAAATTTGGCGAAATTCTATACATATAATAAAAAAATCAACGTGTGTGTATAATTACACACACACACACGCGCGCGCGCGCGCGCGCGTATATATATATATATATATATATATATATATATATATATGAGTGTAAATATGTGTCTAAAATTCTAATAATTTATTAAGTCTTTTATGTTATATGTTATATGTATATTCCTATTAATTTATTAGGATTAATTAGAATTAAATAGAATACAATTACTTATATGTTTTAGGATCTGCTAAAAATTCATTCAGTTTAACAGTGGCCATTTTCTTGCATTCGGAATGACCCAAAGTACATGCCCATTTTAAAGCTTCGATTCTTGTAAATTTCGTAAGATCATCCTCGCCAGGATCTTCTTCGTATCCTACATTCTTAATAAGTGCATCCAAAATTTTAATTATATATGACTAAAAAAATCATAAAATAATATTAATTTTATATTGATTTATAGTTGATATGAACATTTGTGTCATCTTAAGTGTATAATTATATATATTACTTAATAATTTTAAGTAATTATATACTACTTACTTTGAGAAATTCATTTTCTGGAACTTTGTAAATATCTTCTGTAAGTTTCAATACTTCTAACATAGAATACCATGGTATAAAATCTGTTTCCTGTGATAGATAGCTAATAATATTTAGAAACATCATGATATCATGTTTGTTTAACATCATAAAATAATAGGCATCATCAATAATTTGAGCACGATTGAGAACGTGGATTTTCATATAATTGCCAGATTTGAGATAACTCACAATTTTCTGCCAATTTGAAGAATCGTAATTAACACGATAGTATCCTATTGTAAAATTAAATAATATTACAAATTACATTACGCTAAAATTTATTAAATAATTTATTAAAAAGTTAATTTAATTTAATTTATATTTTTTAATAAATTAAATTTGTATATTGTATATATATATATATATATATATATATAAATTTTCAACCCGTATATATACATGTAAGAAATACTAAAATAAGAGAAAAGTATCTCATATATGTATATATATATATACATATATGAGATACTTTTCTCTTATTTTAGTATTTCTTACATTTATATATACGTGTTGAAAATTTATATTATACACTTATAAACAAAAATATTATAAAGAGTATATAGAAAATAAATAGAAATAAAAAATATACAATGCTGATTGATAAATTATTAATTATAAAATTAATAAAATGAATTATTGGTCTTTATAAATAAAAAAATACCTGTAAAATTACCTTTAAAATTATCTGTAAAAATACCTTTAAAATTTATATTAAATTAATATGGAGTATATTAAAGATATTCACCTATTTGTTGTAAATTCACAATAATCCAATCATTTGGATCAATTCCATTAATCGTTATATTTTGATCTTGTGGTTTTAGCCAATGAGTAGGTAAAGTATTAGAAAAATCGGGATTTGTTTGCGTGGCAAAAGTCAAAGGTATCCACCATTTATTATTACTGACGTTCTTTTTTTTATTTTTGGGAAGGAAATGTTCTTGAGTTAATATTATCTCATTAGTGTCGTTATTTCGGGTCATATATACTACAGGAAAATCCGATTGTTTTATCCAAGTATCCATTACTTCTTTCAATCTATAGGTATTATGTGGGACACCTGATTTATCTAGCATTACTTGAAAAGCGTTCCATAAACTGTCGGAAGTAGTCGAATTGAACTGACTAAATTGTAAAAGACAAAAGATAGATTTGTTAAGAGAATTATAATGTAATAAAAAAGTCATACAAGTATAAATAAATAATCTTATATTGAAGCTTAAAATGTAATAATGATTCATTTTTTACTCTAAAAAAGATTAGAATAAAGTTTTGTAAAATTTTCAGAAATTATCTATAATGTTTGGACTCATACAATTTTTATCATTTTAAAAGTTATCGTATTTAAAATGTTTAATTTTTTGATAATGATTAAATTGTTTATTGAAAAATGTAAAAATAGTTTGTTGAAAAATGTAAAAAATTATTCATTTAGAAATGTAAAAAATAGTTTCACTTGTATAGTGTTTTACTGATAAATTTATTATATGAGCAATTTAACGGTAAAATATTAATTTAAACTTTTTATCTTTTAAGTTGAATTATTATTACACTAAATACTTTAAATATCTAGATAAAAAAATAAATATATTACGTACGTAAATATCTGCGTATGTAAATATTTAATAAGACCTTTTTCAAATATCTCGTCGGTAATTATATGTTGTAACATGCGCAGTATAGCGGATGCTGCAATAATAATAAATAAACGTAAAAACTGATATATAATAAAATATATTATCATCCATAAATTTGTGAGCATAGCTAATAAAAGAGGTTGATAATTATGATAGAAAGTACATTTTAACATTTTTATTTAAAAAATTTATTTTATTGTTTCCTCTTTTACTTTAGATTATTTATGTTCAGAAACTTGAGGATGAATTATTTACTTTATTTTACCCTTGTTATAATTGGAGTGAAAGAAGAGTGATTCAATTTCTTTGGGTCTATTGACTTCTAATGTAATTGGGTTTATATTCATATCAATATCCACGTGAAGAATTTTTTGCTGAACAACAAAGTATTCCATTCTTCGCCAATCCTCGAAAATCTGAAATATGCATAAGTTTTAATTTCAATCAATTAAAATTTAAAAAAATTTAATATTATAAATTAGTAATGGAGTATTAGTTACTGTGATATATAATAATATTACTGTGATATGTATTAACGTTTTTAAAGAAATTTGTTTAAATTCTTAAGTAATTATAATTAAAAAAAACGATCTTATAATCTTATTAGCAATACATTATTTTTTTTATATAGAAAGTTATGAATGATTCAACTGTATTATATTATATTTAAATTTAATAGAAATATTTTTTCGAAAATGCTCATTTATGCAAACAAAACTTGCAATAATGAACCTACCTGATTGAGAATATATATTTCGCAGAATGTCGCAAATCCCTCACTTAACCATACATGAGGCCACCATAATGGAGTGACTACATTACTAAACCATTGATATGCAATTCCATGTACTGTTGTCACCGCTACATCTCGTTTAGTAGATATTGTATTGAAACTTTCATTATAGGCAAGGCTTGTTTCACTAAAAATTATTATATAAATGCAGTTATATTCATTTCAATATATACTTTAAAATTATGTAATCTAATATAAAACATTTTACTTTAAATAATTAGATATAAATGTGGAAATTTATATATATAATTGTATGAAGTAAAGAATTTTTGTGTTTTAAAAAGAAAAAAAAATATATATATATATATATATATATATATATATAAAATAAAAATATAATTGAATTATATTTTGGACTATACAAAAGTTGAAAAGATATAATTTTAAAATATATATATATATTTTAAACACACACAAAAGAAAAAAGAAAAATATAATTGAATTATATTTTGGACTATACAAAAGTTGAAAAGATATAATTTTAAAAAATATATATATATATATATATATATATATATATATATTTTAAACACACACACACACAAAAGAAAAAATAAAAATATAATTGAATTATATTTTGGACTATACAAAAGTTGAAAAGATATAATTTAAAAAAAAAAATATATATATATATATATATATATATATATTTTAAAATTATATCTTTTCAACTTTTGTATAGTCCAAAATATAATTCAATTATATTTTTATTTCTTCTTTTGTGTGTGTGTGTGTGTGTGTGTGATGCGCGCGTACGCATGCATGCATATACTCTACATTTTATAAAATTATTCAATAGAAAAAAATTTAATTTTAAGTTCAATCTTAAATTATTTAAATAAAATTTAAAAAAAATTTTAAGGCTACTCTTTTTACAAAATAATTTTATTATTTAAAAAAAACAAAAAATAAAAATTATAATTTCCAGTAAAATAAGTAATCTATTCTTTTGCAAAAAAATAATTATAATATTCAATATTAAGCAGAATTAATTAAGCAGAATTAATAATTTGACAAAAGTTGAAAAATATTTTCAATTTATGTGACACAAGATACCCAGCAAACATGATGACATCTAAAGATATCTTAATAACATTTTAATAACGTATAATACATCATTAATTCGTCAATGACTACGTTTACACGGCTTCTAACTTCGATTTAATAACGCTGATGTTATAACTCCTATTCAAAGTAAGTTGTGTTTATACGTTCAAGCTTATCCTATCCCCACCAAGCTAAAATAACTTAATAACTTTCGAGTGAAGTGAGTCCAAGAAATGATACCAATGAAATGATATTAAATTTGCAAACAAGAGAGAGTTAAGATATTTAATTTTAACGATTGGCATTATTGCTATCGTTACACTGAGACCTGTTTACACGTCCTTTTTACGTCGATGTAGTAACGCTAAGCCATTTCGCCAAACGACTTTGAGTTACTACATCGATGTAATAACTTCATCGTAAAAGAGCGTTTACATCTAACGTCAGTAGTTATAACATCAATGTTAGAACTTCGGCGTAAATCAAGTCGTATAAACGTAGTCATTAAGACATTTTTAGATGCCATCATATTTGCTAGGTATCTAATGCGTGTTATTGATATTTTTTTAAATTGTATATATTACCCAAAAATAATAAGTCCCCAACTGATACTACTATGTATGAATTGTGGGAGTGCTACGAGATCCATTTTTGGCATCTTATAGATGCTGGTATATTCTGTCAATAGCTCTTTAGATTTTTGAACAACTTCTTGTACAAATTTTGTGTGTGGCACCAATTTCGATCTGCACCATATATTAGTAGTATCATCAACAGGAACGCGAATGTAATTGGCTACTACGCTAAACGCTACGAGATAGGTAGATATGATGGGAGTCGTATCAAAGTGCGTCCATATCATGCCGTCTTTATTACCATCGTCCGATTGTTCTCGTGTTGGCATATTTGATAAAGCCGTGTAATTTCGAGGATGTTTTATCGAGATATCGAAAGTAGCTTTTAATGCCGGCTCGTCCCAACATGGGAATGTTCGTCGCGCATAAATCGGCTCGAAATGCGTTGCGACCGACCACCTACCACATTTCAATGATATGCTTTTGATTATGATGAATTTTCTATTACCATGAATGAGTGAAGTGCTTAAATACGCGTAAATGTGATTCATGATTCAATTTACAATTAAATCAATTTACAATAAAAAAAAAATTTTAAGGTAAAATTTTACTCCGAAATTTTACGAAAAATATAAAATATGAAAAATTTTTTTTATTATTACATTAACAGGAATGCATAATATTAGGTAGATAAGTATTTCAAATATTGTATACATATACGCAATTATCATATTACGATATTAAGCAATTTCACATTAAGTTTTCTATTTTATATGATGCATATTAGATACGATACATGATGATGATAAAAGTAGCAAATAAATAATAATAATAATATATATATAAGCAATTTTTAAAAAACATTACATATGATATTAGAAAGAAGTTCCAGATATTAATATTTACTCACATATTATTTCCTTCCTCGTTGATATAAGATAATATGAAAAAGCCTTTCAAATCGTTACGTAAAATACCAACAAATCGCAGTTTCAAAATATAATTTCCAGGTAACAGTTTATTATTAAAATTAAGAACTAAGATTTGTGTTATATTATCATAATTATACGTTGCCGGTGTATAAACATGTATACCATTGTCATCAAACAACACTGTCACTGTTTTATCTATTGTCAATTCGAATACGTGTAAACTCAAATTTTGCGTTGCATGACGAATTATGATATCAACACTAGATTCTCCTTCAAAGTTAAAATTGTTTGCCTCAATATATGGTATTAGCTTAATATTATAATGTACTGGAACTACATTGTCTGGTAAACGATAATTAATCGCCGAATCATTGTTTGAATCTTCGTCAACAGAAACCGAATCACTGCTTAAACCGTTAACAGAAAGAATTGCTGTAGCAATAATTAGCCTAAGATTTATTGATAATTTCAAAATAGCCATGTCAAATCTCCTTTCAAATATCTGCACAAATATTTTTAGAAGAAGAATAATTAATACAAACTGTAATTTTGCTTTTATATTTTATATGAGTTAAAGATCTTAGCATATAACGATGATGAAGGCAAAAGTAGGAAAGAGATAATAATAAAATAATAAAATAAATAATAATAATAAATAATAAATAAAGAAGCAATATATATTAGAAAGATCTTTCAAATTTTAATCTATTTACATAACCGATTTGCTATTTTACTTACGAAATTCAGACTGTGAACTCTTTCATTATTTGGTGTTCTCTGATCTGGATAGTTCAAGATATCATCCGTTAGTGTTGACGATCTCGAGGAAATTAAAGTCGTTTACTGTTTTAAGTCATGGGGAAGGTCTATTATTTTTGATCTCAAGAAAGTTATATGTCATCGTTAAGTATATTTATATTGTTGTTTTCAACTTTGTAGTTTAAAACGAAATCAAAGAAATCATCAAAAAATAATTGAAATATTAATATATTGCAATATTATATGAGGCATGTAATGCGTTCTCTCGAAAATTGATTCTGTATGTACATATTGAATAAATGCTTATATCTGCTCGAGCATAATGCATGCATAATCTACATGTGACAAACTTCGTGGGACTGGTGTTAGATATATGTTTTTTGAAATTTTGAACAATAAAACAAAACAAATTTTTTTGATCTTATAATAAATGTACAAATCTCAATTTAATTTTAACATTTCTCTTTCTTCTTTGGAGAGAAACGTAGGCGACGAAAAAAAAGAACTTGTCTTTTAGCAAACGAAAGAATAAATTGAAATTAATTTTATGTTAAAAAATTAATTAAAAATTTGCAAATAAAAGCAAGTAAGGCATTCGTGTTTAATGCATGTATTGTAACGATTAAATAAAATTTGAAATATATTAATAATTTAAAGAAAAAGGAAGATTTTTTTCTCTTCCTTACGTTCCAATTATCACGCCTTACTGGTTTTTACTTGTCAATTTTTAATTAATTTTTTAATTATTACTATTTAAGCCAATTTTTTGTTTCATTTTTTAATTTTATGTGAAACTGAGACGTATAATCATCCGCATCTGGCTTTTATTGCTCGCAAAAAATTTAAATTTGTGTTTTCACATACAAAGCCTTATTAATCTGTTGATTGCTAACAATTAGAGAGTTTTTGCAATAGCGTTTTTCAAATACGATAAACGTTAAAGTCACGTTATTGGATCGAAAGAAACTGCGCATGCACATCATTTACCGTAACGTTATCTAGATAAGATATGACGTTATTTCTGAATGAAAAAGGCTCAGGATTAATATCAGCGTTATGGCCACCACATTAAAATCTGAACGAATCATGAGTGGAGATCTCTTAAGAGAGATTATATCTCAGAATCCGTACGAAGGCAAGGAAAAATAGAGAACCGTTGCAGATCGTATAAAAGTAAAAAAATAAAAAAATAAAAAAATACTCTAATGCATAAAAAGACTAAATAGAAATATTAGATTTAATATATTTTATATTGAATTAAAATATTAATGCACATACTATTATTATATTATCAATGGTACATATAATACAGGTACATATAATGAAATAGTTGATCGATATCGTTGAACAATATTAACACCAATGATAAACATTTTTTAGCTTAAGATAACTATCAGTTAATATTTGATTTGTCAGTAAAAATGTGATAAATGAGATAAATGAAATACAAGTATTAACATTTTTTAATGACTAGGAAACAATATGAGAAATTTAATGTCTTCATAATTAGTTATTCATTACTTATTAATTATTTATTAATAGGATTTATTTTTTTAAATAAAATTCAGAAACCAATGCTTTTATATTATATGAATAATTAATAAAAATGTTATTAACAAATGTTAAAAAAATTATTTAAGACAAAAATATATACATAAGTACCAAATAATATAAAATATCAAATTAACAAAATAAATCAATAAATGTGCATATTAATGTATTAATATTAAGGTTTATATATAACTACTAATAATCGTTAACCAACTTTCTAATAATTAAAACATAAATATCAAGCTAGGATATTACATATATAGAGTTCATCAGAATTAAATTTTTTTTAATTTAATACATGTCGCATTATTTTAGATGTCGCCAATTAAAAGTCGTAATAAAGGGGAAGCTTTCATTTGTACCATAAAAATTAAAATACCAACAATTCCTATGATGAACTGAAAATTATCAAAATATCAAATATAATTATCATCATTTTATATTTTTTTATATAAGTCAAACTGAAATTTTTTTAACTTGTATTATGCTTATATGGATATGAATATTAAAAACTAACCTTATAAATAAATTTGTAGCCAAAATAAAAGAAGCCCATTCCGTTGAATTTTAATGGTCGAAGTGATATTTGCAAAATAAATTGACAAATCTGCACATGTAACACATTAATATTAGCAAGTATTCTTAATAAAAAGATTATTTAAAAACGAAAGATTTTATGTTGGAATATTTATCTTACATCTTTGCGTATCCGATCAAAATAACGAAATTCTGTCAATTTATAAATCATGTTCTTGGTTTTCTCTGCCTGAAATAATATAAAGTTAATTTTATGATCCTGATAATTGTATCTTTATTCATATTAATTATGTGAGTTTTGAAAATTGTACATTTTTAAATAATATAACTTATAATTGTTATAAAAACAATTTCTAGGTTTAAAAAAATTGAAAAAATATTTATTTTTTTTTATGCTTTTAATTTAAGTACTTTACTAAAATAGATTTAACACATATCATAAGAAGATCGAATATTATATCAGGTTAATTATGATAAAAATATTTTCTTTTTACAATCCATCTAAAAATTACTTAGAAGCTCACCTTGGTGCCAACGCTTTCGCAAATATAATTCAATATTACTAATTTTGTTAAGTATATGCCGCACCATAAGTTAGTATGAATTAATTTTATTAGTTCAATTCCTCCGCTATAAATTTCTGCTTTGGAATATAATATTATATGATATTGAAAATAAAATATTCCAGTTAAAAAAACGAAATAGCAAGTCATCTGCATAGTTAATTGCAATCCAAAAAGAGCATTTATATTGCGAGCTATTCGGCAAAGCTCCAAATAAAGATGCCTAGAAATTACATTATATAATAATAAGTAAATATATTTATATTTATTACATATATTAAAATACATACACACACTGAAATATATAATCACTGATCTATTTCTATTAAGGACTATATATGTATAAAATTTCATTTTTATTTAAATTGAAAAGTATGATCAAAGATACGACTTAATATTATACGATTACAACTTATATCAAAATAATTTTTTTGTCATAAAAAAAATCAAAATTAATATTCATAATTATGTCATATTATGTACATTTGTAACTTTACAATTATATAGATTTATAAAATTATAAATTGTTTGATAGATAGATACAAATTGTTAATGTAGAAATATTATGTAAATAAAATTGCAATAAGATAGAATTGCAATAAGATAGAATATATTTATACATTTTGAGATTAATAAGTAATCTTTTTGTGTTAAAATAAGCCTCTTAATTTTGGCAATTTTTTATCTTAAGATATATATGAATTTACACACACACATATGGTCATATATATATATATATATATATATATATATATATAAATTTATATATAAATTTACATTGCAATCCACAATACATGTTCATGATTTTCAGTATTCTGAATATAGTAACGAGACTTTTTCCAAGTGCATTTTAATCCATATTCTTTAATCTTTGATAATTGTTCAATATAGTCATTGATTTTATCCAATTTTATACCGATAATCCTGTAATTTAGAAAAGGAGGAGAAAAGGTGCTAAAATAAAACGCATGTTGAATTATTTAATTTCACTTAGGATTTTATATTAGAGAAATAATAGTGTGTCATTAGCTTTTGGATTAGCCTATCAGATTAAAGAATTGTGTGTGTGTGTGTGTGTGTTTTGTAAAAAATAAATACTTGTTATATTTCTTTAAATAAGTACTGATTTTACAAAAATTTATATGGCATAAAAATATAAAATAATTTAATATATTTTTAATATATTTAATATTTATTGTGTGCATATATATATATATATATATATATATATATATATTTAATATTACATTTTTATAATTTAAAGATTTAAAAATTTATTGGGCTAAATTATATATTCAGTTTTGCCGATCATATTCATATAATTAAAACCAGATATCACAAACCTTATGAGAAATATAAATATTATATCTACGATGGTATTGAGGTGGAAAGGATAATGTAGAATAAAAGGTATAAGAATAGCCCTTATTTCCTGAAACTTTTTGAAATTCAAATAAGCACTAAGTGCCCATGTTATACAAATCATCATAAACCACACAATTAATATCCATTTTATTGAGTTTCGGATTTTACAATATTCCTTGCGTGTTCCAAGTTGTTCCAACGTATCATCTATGAGACTGAGATTTTTTATATACATATAATATTTCTAAAAATAACAACATAAAAGAAAATGTATATTATAAATCTATCTACATTACATCTTTTTTAAATAAATATATATATATATATATATATATATATATATATACATGAAAAAATATATATCGATATATTTGGCAACAAAATTAATGATAATAATAATAAAAGTAGTAATAATAATAATCATTTTTAAAGATCTCTACTGGACAGAGTATGAGATATAAAGGGCTGGTAAACATATTGAACTTCGACAGACAATAAAAGATAATGTAGAATATTAAATGAATTAAATAATTGAAGCATAAATATAATAATACAATGATATCGATTAAATAGTGCAAAAAGGTAAAGTTGTGCACATGTGATGTTATATACATATAAAAAATAGAACTAAAACAAGAGTAATAATATTTATAACAGTATATAATGCGGTAAAAATTTTCTAACAATCTCATTAAACGTTTTACTAATTTAGGTACATAATATAAAAATATATATAGAACATAATTTATTAACTAAAATTTGTAAACTATAAAGTATAATATTTTGATTTTTCTGATAATTAAAAGTAAAATTCATTTTAGAAACAATTAAAAGTAAAATGCATTTTGGAAACAAAAATAAAATTTATTTTATACATATAAATAAAAAAATAGATTAATTTATATTTAAAGGACCTCGCACATTTTATATGAAAAAAGTGACTTCGATCAAATTAGCTGAAATTGAAATATGTTGTAATGGTGCTGATCAAAAGTTTTTTGAGGCAAAAAGTCCAAAAATCAAAAGTATAA